CAGATTAACACAAACTCCAGTTATTCCTGCCAACCACCACCCTCTGCAAGGCACGTCCCACCTCATTGCTCACTCAATTTTGCTGCAGTAAGGCTTCCTGAACTGCTCTACATTTCTTATATTTTAATGTAAATATTTTTGGAGGGCAGTATAATCTGAAAATTATCTCATTTTATTGTACTTTTCCCACAGTACTTAGTAAGCAGATTACATACCATTCCTGTAGAGAATGTTGCAGGTTTACCTTGTGCCTGGCTGAAAATAGATGTATTCTGATTGTTTCATTAATTGCAATTGACTCTGGTAAAAAAAACAAACAAACAAACAAAAAACCCAAACCACAAAAATCCAATAAACTTTCGTAAAACAGCCACCAATTTTCTTTATGAAAGTTCTGGCAAGAACCTACTGATACCATGACTACCTAACAGTTTCACCATTTCACATTTAAAATGATTGCTACAGTGAGTTATATAACTCTGAAAATAACCTTGGGTGATGTATGTTTTTCCTGAGTTATCCCTATTTGTTAATAATAAGAACAGACACCTGTGGCTTTCTCTTTCCCTGCTACAGCCACTGCATTTTAAGAGCTGAAAAAAGCCAACTGAGAAGTGGGAGATCCCGACAGCACGGAGGTGTTTAAGCCCACTGCAACTGGGCTGTGTCCAAAGTGAGACTGTGAGCAGACATGGTGCACAAGTTGCAGACAATGATTCAGATCCTGCTGATGGAGGACACAGTACCGAGCATAACATAAGGCTATGAGAGAAACAGGTAATGCCCTACCCCTACTAAATACAGCATGAGGTATCCAAAATTTAACCATTAAGCGTATAGTGGTGACACTTGATTAAAAACATGCAAGAGATACAAACCAGAACATTTTTGTCAGTCTATTTGTTCTGCATTTTTTGCTACCTGAATAAAGCAAGCCTGAGGGGATATCCTGTATGAAAAACACTGCTTGTCTTGAAAGTTCAGTTCATTAAATCAAATTCTGACCTTTTAGAGTTTATGCTAGCTGAGCCTTTCTGGTCCCTGGATAGCCCTGTTGGCCCACGGATCTGACTTTTTCATCAAACATTTCTCACCTTCCTGACCATTAAATAACCCTCTGTGTTCTTGAAGTGTTTTCTGATGCATCAAAATGCATACAACCAAAGGGCATCTATGAAGCAACTGCTGAAACAACATGGCTTCAGTCCTAAAGGAACTTCACAAAGTAAAATCATTCCTACAATCACAAATTTCCACATCAGCACAAATGCATAATTGTAAGAATATTTGCACACATTTATAGGCACACATGTACTATATAAAAATATATATGTAGCCACATGCACACTCAAGCAGATAAGACACGCTTCAGCTGGCTGTGCTGGGGCCCTCACCTGAATGTATCGTGTACCTTTAACTCCAGCCCAAGATGAACAGATTGCTGGCTGAATGGAGTCTTTTTATAGCACTAGTCCATGGGGAAATTCTTCAACAAAAATGCTTTTCTGATCACATTTGCAATTCATATATGCTAAGAACAGGATTCTATTAATTGAACACTGAAAAACATTCCTAATTATTGCATATATTATTAACGACCTTCATGTTTCTACAATAAGCAAACCAGCAAAATTCGGTACCAATGTATGCTCTGAGAGTTTTCTCACTGTGGATTCTGTGCAACTGCTCCTCAAAATGGTTATTTTTTCCTAAGGATTTCTACATTTAGATGACAAATCAAGCTTCTCTAATTGCCAAATTGTATCTGCTCCTTCACCAAGAGACACCTTACAGAGTTTCTGAGTCAGAGTAACCAGGCAACCCTAAGCCTCTAGACTAGGAGGCAAAGGAAAACGCGTACTCCTACAGCAAGAAGAAAAATTATCATTTCAATCTCTATTCAAAAATTTGTCATAATAGAAATAATGTTTGCTGTGACTCAAACATTTCAAAGGGTGATATAAATCCTCAAGCTCAAGATGTCCCAGTTAGAAGATCAGGAGTTTCTTTACAGCTCTCCCAGTGCTGCTGAGCAACTGGAATCCTAGCAAGAGCTGGTCAGACAGCTCTGGGCCTCTGAGCTCCAGCATGGTAATTTCTTTTGATTCCTGTTAACTACGTAAAGTCTTGCCAGGGAAATACCAAATGCCAATCTGTTGTTTTTCCTGGGGAGAAATCCCCTGATGGTCCAGTCAAAGCCAAGCCTTTACAGTGCAAATTTCTGCTAATCCCAATCATAACCTTCCACCAAAGGGGGGTGGGCTTTGTAAACCCAGCTTTGCCCTGGCTCCCTGAGATTTATCCAAGGACCTGACAGAGACCACAAAACCATATTTATTACAAAAACACCCCCAACCTTAAAAATAACTAGAAATGTGTGTATATATATATATATATATATATATATATATAAAAACACCCCCACCCATAAAAATAAATAAAAATGTGTGTATATATATATATATATATATATATATATATATATATATATATATATGTATGTGTCTTGGAAGAAGAAGCCAGAGGAAAGGACCATCAGCACTGGTCATGGTTCAAAAGGTGGCTAAACTGAGAAGCCAGGGCATTCCTTGTGCTGCTCTCTCTTCCCGGGGAGTGCTGTCTCTCTTGTGGGAAGTGCAAAGAACAGTGCTACCATGGCTTCAGCAAGGAAAGCAGTAGTCTGGAGGGCCAAGTATTCCAAGGTGATTGTGTCCATGCCCCTCTCTCAGAGCATCTCCCACAGCTGGGCAGTTGGGAGACCCAGATGAAATCCACTTTCCACAGAAGCAGCAGTTTAGGCCATCAAACTCCTGTCCTGATTGCTTCTGATCAGCTTGGCTACTGGATGCAGAGTGCTAAAATAGCAGCAAAGTGACAGATACTCCTCCCCCAGCTCTCCAACCTTCCCTTCTCTACAAGGATGTGTGTGCTTGCTGATGCCCAGCCTCCTCCCTGCTCCCTCTGGGGAGCTTTTCCCCCACTTGTGGCTGTCAGTGAGGTCTAGTAAGTCTCTTTTGCATTGGTGGCTGTGGTTTAAAGCCTTTCATCACAATCTAAAGAAATGCTCTTCTGCTCTTAAAAAGCTGACACAACACCCCAGATTATTCAACAGCACTTAGGCACCACAGTGTGCCTCAGGTTCAACAACACAAGACCATGAAATGTCTCAGCTACACTGCAGGTACCCAATTCCCAGGGGAGCAATGATTTGTGCAAGTGAACATCAGACTTCCTTTACCTAAAAAGGGAAATGAAAACTAAATGATGGAATTATCTTTGCATATATGTGTTGCATTTAGTCTCCTGTTTTCAATGCTGGAGAGTTACCCTATGGCAAAGACTTATAACAAAATCCTTTGTGACTATTACTCCTTGCACCTGTTTGCAGGTCTGTTCTCTCCCTGGGGGGTGCAGGAGGGAGAAACAGACTTTGGTGATCGCTCTGGTATCCTCTGATAAGGCTCTTGGAAGATATTCACAGGTCTAGGAAAAGCCACCTCTCCTCTCCTCCCCTCCTTTTTGTATTTTACCTTCCTTCTCCACTCCTCACCTTGCATGTTCTCTCTTTTATTCTTTCTCACACAGATCATCAGTTTCTTCCAGTCACTTGCACGCTGGGCACTGGCCCAGGGGCTGACATTGGTGCCTCTGCCACAGAATTCAACATCCTCACAAAGAAAAATTCTCCTCAGAGCATTTCCCCTCACGGCCCCGTGAGGTGAGGAAGAGGAAGAGGTCAGGGGCCCAGTCCTGGATAGCAACTAGCTGCATGCTTAACCTCAGCCATGGACCTAGCTCCACTAGTTTCAGATATTTCCATGATTTGCCACAGGTAAAAGTATATAGATATTTGTAAAAAATCCATAAATTAAGGCCTTAATTTATAATTTGTTTTAAGTAAGGTTGTTCCTGGATTTAGACGTAGTAGGAGGCATAAAGGGATGTGACTGGGCCTCATACTGAGTAATTTTTGATTCCTGCCGTTGTTAGGAGCATATTGGATTACTGCGTTGGAGTGCTGGGAAAAAAATCACAGCATGAGAAACGCTGTGATCCTGGTGCCCAAGAAATGCTGTGATACCCGACTCCGGGCAGTCTGGCCAGGCAGGGCTGCCCACGGCAGCAGGGCGGGCAGGAGACGGGAACACTCGAGGGGCAGAACTGAACTGTGGGTGACAGACACGGGGGCAGCGCCGCGTTCCCGCAGCCGGGCTGGACACGGGAGCGCGGGAAGCGGCAGTGACCGGCAGGGAAGGGCTGCCGGCGACGGGCACGGGCACTGCCATTTAGCACTGGGCTCGCAGGCCCTCCGTGGAGGCCTCCGGAGCTCGCAGGCGGCGCGGTCCCGCCCGGCAGGCGGAATTTCGGGAATTTCGTGGTTTTCGGGATTGTTTCCAGGCTGGCCGCGGCGCAGCGCGCCCCCTGGTGGTGGCTCGGTGGCTCCGCGCTCCCTCCGCGCTCCCTGCGCGCTCCCTGCGCGCTCCCTGCGCGCCCCCCCGCCCTCCCACCTTCTGCCCGGGAGCGCCCGAACGCTGGTTTAAATAAAGGAGTTGTGAGCGGGAAAATCCATGCCAGATCTACGCTGATTTGTGCCGAACAATTTGTATCGTGACATTACCCTAACTGTTCATCAAGTCCTATTTTGCAACTAAATAATATTTCCCCATTTGTGTAGGTCCTGATACAGTTCAAGACTTTGAAAGAGGTCTTTCAGTGCCATTTCAATGCTTAATTAGGCACTCACTCAAAATCAAACTTTCCCAAACTATGAGATCAGAGTAACAAATCTAAAGAATGGTTTATCTGCTAATGTCCTAAGTATTTGACATTTCTAAGTGAAATCTGCTGGGTTTCTGAGATATGCAGTGATTATAAAAGCAGCTGAGTCAGATCAGTATGTATTTTTGATAATACAGTCTTTTACCTGTAATTAACTGCAATGGGAAAAGTTCCCCCAAGTGGTTTCCAAGTCTATTGCAACATAAAATAAAAGACACAGATGGCAGTAGAAGGAAAAAATTCTTTATTTATATGATGGTTACAAAACAATAGAAAAGAGAGAGGCAAGGTAAGTAAGTGAATATATAAGGATGCTACACAGTATTTATGCCTCTCCTGTTTACTGTATTGCCCAGTTATTTCCAGGAGACATTTTGGTAATCAGAATAAAAGGAACTGCCTGTGCTTCCAGGAGAGGTGTTTTGCACCTGGGTTTTAGGCGATGAGAGTGCAGGTGGAGCACCCTGCCCCAGGGCTGCCCGTACCCAGGCTGCAGAGGGCAGGCACAGGCACTGAGAGCAGAGAACATGGGGCAGCTCCCTCTGAGCAGGCATGGGATGGGAACAAGTCACCACAGCCTACTTCTGCCTTTGCAAGCACTGGACAACAAAGGGTAAAGAACAGGGCAAAAAATGAAGGTGGGGGCTTAAAATACTCTTCTTTTTCTCCTGTGAGCAACTCTGTGGACTCCTTGGTCTCTGCTTGGGTGCAAGGCATGTGAGGCTCAAGGGACTTCATCATACAAAACAAAACCACAGCAGCTGTAGCTCATGTTTGGTGCTTTTGAGATCCTGTAAGTAAGAAATGACAGCAAAAGTTTAATATTTAGGATAATGTGTCTGCAAACAGACATAAAGTCACATTGGTTATAGGCAGTGTGAGGATGGGACTATTTAACCAAGTCTGTCTAAGGTATGGGCTAACAAGCACCACACTTTCCACCCCCATAAAATCATCTTCTCAAACAAGAGTGGATGCAGAGAGAAAAGGCACAGTATCTACCTGAGCATTATGTGCAGCTCTAGGGGCTCACATAACATAAAAGCAGAAGCTGGTCTTTGTCAAAATGCACAGGGTAAAGGAACAAAAAGTAGAGCAGAGACAGCGGGGATGTAACAGCTGGGACACATCAGTCCCTTATTACTTCTGTACTCATCCTCTTACTCCAAACGGGCATTTAGCCTACAAGTTAGCACAGATTTAGGATTGAAAAATGGGGGATTTATTTTTAAATAAATAGCCAAAGTTTTGATGCCAGGATGTTGATGGCACTGAGGTGCCAGGCCTTGCTGGGGCCCCCATAATCCTCTCAGGTCGTGCAGGTGGCCATGCCTTACCCTTGCTGCAGGAATGGCAAGTGAGCAGGAGACAAAATACAAGCTGCAAATGGAAAATGCCCCCTGAATCAGTGAGAAAAACTTCTCAGAGTCCTAGAAAACTTCAGCCCTTTTCCTGATAGCAGCCAAAGAGGAAAATTAAATATTCAGGAATTAACAGCGGGAGACTAGTAACTAAAAGAGACAGTGCCAATGCCACAGTGTAAATACTGTAATATTTGGAGCCACCTTCTTTCCCCACACTATAAAAGCATAAAATAGGCCTAAAAAGGTATACTTTAAGATGATCAGTGTATGTAGCAGCTGCTGTTTGAAGAGAATATCACTGAAAACATTATGATCAAAGGAAGAATTGCTAGAACAATTTATAAGTGACAGCTTTTACAAGGTGAGCAGTTATTCAACAGGGCTCCACCTACAACAGCTGGGAGTCACTCTGCAAAATTTGTACACAAAAAACTTAAAACGAAGTATTTAAAAAAAAAAAAATCGCCCACGTGGGAACAACAGCATAGGAGAGTGGAGCAGCAGCCATTGCTCCTCCCCATGGCCAAAACCCTTGGAGTCACACATATTTTCTTCGTGTTTGAAATTCAACCTGTGGATTTGGCACCGTTTTTCATAGTGGCAGCTGTTTCTCTCACAGATATTACATCCTCTTTCTGCCTCAGTTTCAAAACATGCACTTACTATAAAATTAGCAAAACGGGAATGTTTTTGAGGCTATATGAAATGGAGATGGGCAGGTTTGGGTGGCAGAGGGGCCCTGGCAGAGCTGCAGGGCTGCTGTTGGCTGAGCTGTGCACAAGGAGGAACTAAAACATTTTGAGTGGGGATGGCATGTAAGGTGACAGGGAAGCCCACAACCTTTGCAGGAAGGCACAAGGAGCCGGAGAGTTCAGTGAGGTTCCAGATGATGAGGAGATGGTATTTCTTAGAGCTTCAAGTTTTTATATTTTGAAAAGAGCATGAGACAATGTGCGTTTCAGTCATGCTTTGAGGAAGAGAAGTTGGCTCAGGACAAGTTCATCCAGTCATCTCTGAAGTTGGGTTTCCACAGAAAATTTATGAGAAATATTAATTTTCTTCAGTCTCATAGTAATACTCCAGATTTGGTTTGTTGCAAAGTAAATTGTTCTAAGCATACCAATTCTTCCTCCTTCAGTCAATGTGCCTCCCTATGAAAAATTGCCCCCTGACCTTGAGCTGTTGTAAACCATATCATGAAAAAGAGGCACCAAAATGTGGTTAAAATTGTATTAGTTATTTTTCTGTGGTGGGGAAAGAGCAATGGAAATATCAATATCAATAATAATAATAATATGTTTGTTTCTGGGAAGGAAGAAATGAGATACTGAGTGGCAAAGCTCTCTAAATTTTCCATGCACATGTAATTTAGAAGGCAATATAGTGATTAAAAAGAAATACAAATACTTATTAGATTTAATTTCAATATACAAAACAGGAAACATATTAAGTGTCACTCCCCCTTTTTCATAAAGAATATCTCTATTTACTCAGAAAAAGAGATGCATAAATCTTTTATGTAACTAGAATAAAGATTGTCAGGTATTTTATTCAAGGAAAGGTCTATGGAAAAAAACCAGAAAGCATTGACATACCCTAAAAGGACATGTTTAACAAATGCCCTCATTTTGAGTAATTCAGTTCAAGGTGCAGAGCTGTGCATGGAAGTCTGTGCTTGAGCAGCCATAAAATCAGAGCCTCATTTAGGCTGGAAGGGACCTTCAGAAGTCCAATGTGTGGGGGCAGGAGGGCTGGAGTGAGCAAATGTCAGACACTTACAGCACAGGAATGGAAATCACAGCACAGCTGTTGATCTTGTTCTTGGCATTCTAATAAGATGTTGCCAAGGCAGATCACAGCATCTTTCAGTGAGTTGAAAGAAAGCTTTCACTAACAGACATTCAGCTGAGAGCTCAATAAGAGGCCAGACTGAGATTAGTCCAAACCCCAATTTCTTGACTTCATATTTCACCCTTATAAATTGGGATGCCAAACAAGAATACTTGGGATGTAACAATTTTAAAAGGCCACTAAACCTCCACGACATGACAGCTGCAGAGACAAGCAGTTACGTGACAGGGCAAGCACTGCAGATGTATGTGACTGCCCAGGAGAGTGTGAGGTGTTCCCTAAAACCAGTCTCCATTGGTCCATGGGGAGAAAAGTGAGTAAAATAAGTTGTGCTCTAACACACATGCTGGGTACCTGGGTGCCCAGTGCAGGCTTTCCCTCTGCTCTGACATGGGAGAGCATCACAGAGCATCTGCCAGGGGAAGGGATGTGGATGCCAGGGCAGGCTCTGCTTTGGCAGCTGCAGCATCTCCCTGATGCCTCTTTAATTTACATTTGAAATATGAAATTTCTCTACTCTGGATCTGGGGAAAATCATGACACAGTTATGTGCCATCTTCTGTTCCTTTCCATTTCAGTAGTGGGGGAAAAACAGCATTCAAATAGCACAACATTCTAGTTTAGAAGGTAAAGTCTGACCAAATCTGACATGGTTTTGTAATAATAACATGTGAAATTGCCTCCTTCATTCTTGTCATCTCGGGTGAACATCACTCTCCTAAGGGGATGGCAATGTGTTTTGGTAGCACATCTTCCACCTTCTTCCTCCCTGCAGGAATGTTACTTTCTCCTCCTGCTGCTGTGATCAAAACAGTGTAAGTGACAGAGCGTCCGTCAGGTGCCCAGACTTGCTGTGACTCTGGGCTCGCACCCCAAGGCGGCATTGCAGCCATGGGGCTGCCAGCAGCCAAGAGACAGCACTGGGCAACCCTGCCTCCCTCCTGTCCTCCGCAGAGCCACTCTTAAGGAACTAAAACATGGGTGAAAGTGGGTCAGCAGAGAAAGCTGTGGAGGAGAGAGGAAACCTCATCAGGACAATGAGTGGCACCTCAAAAGAGGAAGCCTCTGTGGTGAGGGGTTAGCTACCTGTGCTCTGCAAATGCCTGCCTTAGGTGGGAGTGAATTCTTAAGGGATGTCTTAAGCCACTGATTTTTCACTGAGGTAATTATTTCAGCTGAAATATTTACATTTTAATTTTCCTAAATCAGACAAGAGAAATCTGAGGAACAGACAGAGAACAGCACAGGAATAGACATGGACACGGCAGAAATACCAAGGATGACTGGACAGATGCAGACAACAGCTTAAAGTTCAAGACTCTATAATATTTCTTGTCTTTCTCTTATATAAGTTAAAAAAGGCTACAGTATTCCTGTAACAATAGCAGTGCAGACATACTCTTTACTGACACTGACTCTATTTTATTTCTATCCTTTTAATTTCTGAAAAGATTAACACTCGGCCCATATCAGAAACTAGACTTTCTCAAAAAGATGCAATCGCTCACATTTTGGTCCACTCAAAGAAAGATCCAGCCTAATGTCTGAGAAAACACAAATAATCCTGTGTCCAAGAGGCAGGGGCAGAGTGAGGAGGGAAGGAAGAGGAACTTGTGTGGCCATGGAAGGGGACAGGGCTCTGGCCATTCTTTCTGCTACGGCTGCCCACTTTGCAAATCCGCAGAGTCAGTCCTGCCAGGGACTTTCCTGAAGGAAAACAGCCAGTTCTATGTTTTCTGCAATCCCCATCTAATCCAACTCCCTGGCTTTTTCACAAGAGCTAACAAATTGGTGAAATGTAAAGAAATATCTTTGACACTGCAAATAAATTACTTTGAATGACACAGAAACAAATAGATCACAATATGTCCACAAGCCACTGTACAAACGTTGTTTGGCATTGCTGCTTGAGCTCACTTATATCCCAGCACAGAAATCCATCCAGCACCCACTGTTGTCAGCAGGGTTAAAGAGCTCAAGCTTCTATGCATTTTCTGACTTCATCTTTTTGAGGTGTAGATGTGGATGGAGATGAGAAGTTTTGCTTTATTTGAGAAACAGACCCTTGTGAGTGCATTATTCTGAGATACAGAGCACATCTTTCTCTTTTTTCTATCAGACCAGCAATTCCTGCACCTGATACCTAGATCTCAGAGTCAAAATTTCTCATTTCCAGGAAAGCAGGGCTCCATCACACATAATGGTTATTTGGGAAGGCAAGCACCAAATATCCCCCTTTTCTTCCTTTTTACCTCCACATTTTATTGCTGAGGGCTATTTAATTCAGTATGAGGTATCCCTCTGGTCAGTTGGGGTCAGCTGTGTCCCTGCCCAGCGTCTTGGCCACTGCCAGCATATTTGCTGAGGGAGGAGCATGGCAAAAACAACAGGTATAGAAAGTATGCATTTTTGCAAGCACTATTAAGAAACAACCAAAACATTGGTGTATTGTCAACACTGCTTTGGTCACAAATCCAAAGCACAGTCCACAAATCTGGACTGCCACACAGGAAATAAACTCCATCCCAGACAAAATCAGTACACATAGAGAGGACATTTGTGATACCTATAGTCCCTATTTATGGATGATAATTCACACTTCTATTACCATCACTCAGCACAAATTACAATTTGCAGGTTGCCCTCCTGTGGCATTCTGTAATAGACAAGCAATGAAATTGCTCCATTGGTTGCTCCCCTAATCCAAAACTGGAATTGTTACAGTATAAGCCCCCCCTCAAACAGTCAATGACAACATTATATAGACATTTTGCTTCCTTTGAAAACTTAGCATGGCCCCTGAGAAACTACCAACAGCACTTCTTCCTACATTGTCTGCTCTGAACAGTCACAAACTCAGAGGTAGTATGTGGATCTAGATTTGTCATGCAGAAAGCCAGTCTGGCCAGCTCAGCATTACTTCCTCGGTAGGCAAATTTACTGATAGAATAAACTAAATTAGCTAGGAGGCATTTAGCCGAGACTGGTGGTAAATATAAATTGCCCTGAAAGCTGACACTCCATCCCAGGTATAAGGTCATGCATATTGGACGCTGCCTGCTATCAGGTACAATACACAGAGCCTGTTTGGACAAAACATTCCTGCTTTACATGACTTCTCAGAGCCAGACAGGTATTTGTGCCACCACAGCACACAAGTACCACAGATCACTGGTGGGAGGGGATGGCTGGTGCTCCTGGGGTGAGCAGCAGCAGGCTAATGGGGGTCCAGCAAATGCACACCCAGTCCAGCTGTGTGCACACTGGGAGCCCTTTGCTGGTGAGTGAGCACCACTGTTCTTCTGTGATATGTGGACATTGCACTGCAGGCTTCCCTGGCAACCAGATGGAGTCTTAAACTGGTATCAATTCAGTAATTCCATTGGAATACTTAGAAATTGAGTCCAGGCCACTTCACTGCCAGTTGGTTACTGACAAAAGAGATAAATAAATGTCAGGAAAACAGAAAACAGTGTTAATTACACAGTTTTTGAAGGCTTCTTTAAAAAGATAGTATTCTACAAAAGCCAGGAGACAGAGGGATGACTCCCTGTGAAAGCACCGCAGTAGATGGCAAAGTTCAGTAAAAGACTGAAAATTATGTCATTTTGCTTTAGCAGCATTTTTTATGTTTAATGTTTAAATCATTCTATTAACGAGTTATTTTCAGCATAAGATTTTGCTTGCTAAATGCTAAAGCTACCCAGCTAATCATGTACATGCTCAGTTTAAAGATAACTGCACTTGGGGCTCAGATGCAGCCTCAGGCAAGCACAAAGCCTTCCTTTAGCCAGTGCAATGCCAGAAGCCCCACTGAGCCAGGGAAGTCAGCAGGGATGCCCAGGAATGTCTTGATCCTCGGGGGATGCTGGTCAGTTACAGACCCAGGTGGAGGCAAAACAGAACAGTGTTTGTAAAATCCAGGCCCTGCAAGATTTCCAGAGAAGGGGGAACATCATCCAGAGTGGGAGTCTGCTTTTTGTCTGAGACACTGAAATGTAGATGTAGCCAGTGAGATCTGGACTCCACTAATTTCAGCTGCATCAGGATGAGGGAGAGCAGAGGTGCCTGACCCAGTCCCATGGCCAGATTCCCAACAAACATGGCTCTGGGCAGTCGGGCTCTTGGAGCCTGAGAGGGATGAAGCACACTCTGCCAAGGAAACCAAATCTGTGACAGCCTCATTCACACGCTACACTTCACCAACATTATTGACTTCTGCTGCTGTCATGTGGGTTACATGCTTAGCTCACAGACATGTGAATATAGATGTGGATTACTCTCATGCTGAATTCAACCACACACAAAGACACAGGTAGTCAACCAAGCCGCTGACTTCCAGCTACTTGCAAATTTAGGAGAGGATAACTGGAACAGCTTAATGTAACAACATCATAAAAGATGGGGAAACTCTTCTTAGAGCTGTGAGGCTTTTTTATTTTCCCTCAAACTAAGAATAAATAAAGCAGTTACTTTCTGCATCAAGGAAATCTAGAGGACTATGCCATATGTTTTCTCCCTTGCATAGCACAAGTCTGATCATGACTGCTCCACCCAGCATTGGGATACCATGCACGCAGTGCATACTGACCTACTCCCGATGGTGTGTGACTGTCAGAAGACAGCAGGATGAGCCCTTCTTGGCTGACCTTCTCCTTGATGCACCTGCATCCACAACCCAAATTGCAATTGGTTTCCTCATCAAAAGGCTGCAGAAAAAAAAGTGAAATGAAGGCAGGCTGCTACACTGAGGAGATGCCAGCATGGCCATAACACTGTTGCCAAGTGAGTGTAAGTGATCCCAGCTGCAAAATAGACTAGCTGGCTGTTAGATCATCTTTTTAAAGTAGCCCCCCAAGATATTAAATTCTGTATCATATCTTAAATATCTTTTGTGCTATCACTACGATGGAGCCAGCCTTGTTAGCTTTTCCTTTTGACAGGCTGTGTCAAAGCCCCAAACACAAATACTGTCTGCTGTCCTGTGCCACATTTAAGAATATTAATTTAAAAAGCTCCACCTTAAATGTTTGTTCCTAAACTGGTGCATCTCTGTACAAATGCAAAGTAGGTGACTAAAATGTTCTAGGTCATGTGGCATGGTGACAGTCTAAATCAGGTGCTGTAATCACCAATTTGCTTATCCTTACGGGTATCCAATCTGAGCGATTCAACATCCTGAACTGTGCCAGCTGTGAGCATGGGTGCCTTGCAACTCTACAATGCAGATTTATGATGCATTTTGGTTTCCTTCTTATACTCCACCAGCAGTAGTATAAGCACTGCCCTTGCTGTGTGCTGTCACTGTTCTGATGGCACTTACCCCTTTACTCTTTGGCCAAAGGTGTATCACAAAAAACCTGTCAGAGCTCGGTCACATTATGCACGTGCTTTTGGATTCCTGAGCAGGGAAACTGATGATAATCACACAAAACTCAACAAACTTCCTCTTCTTAAACTAGGCAGCATCTGCTGATATTTAAGCAGCATCTAGCTGTTCACCATATCCAGGGCATTTTGCTTCAGTCTTATGGATGCAAAGGGATGAAAGCAGAGCCAACTGCAATTATAACCACTCATGAAGGTGCCAATTCTCCTTCCCCTCAGGCTTGGGAAGAGATGTGAACTGTGAGGTTTGAAAGACCACTTGCACCTGCTGCAGCACCCAGCAGAGCTGTCAGAGTGACACTGCCCCACCAGCCATGGACATGTCCCCTGGGGCAAGGGCAGCACTGCTTCTGAGCAGCTGTGAGACCATCCAGCCAGCACAGGGACACTTAACTCAGTTACCTAGTAGTAAAGGTTTTATAAGATGTGGATTTTCACTCAGCTAATCATGACAGGCTGGTCATGATTTACAGAAAACTTCATTTCACTCTGAGTAAGAAATCAAAATTGTAAATGATTGGTATACTGGAGGATACTCTCAGGCTTATCTTCTTCAATGCTGACTGGACTTAATGGATGCTTTCCAAACGAAGAGAACTTTAGGATAATTAAAAACTCCAAAGGAGAGAAAATTACCAGTGGTATGGCAGTTACTTATTACAGATTAGTTAGAAATAGACTAACACTTGCACAAGGCTGTATACGCCATCCAGAACACAAAACTCATACTTGACATGTAAGTCACAACATTTGAGCATTTCAGTCCTTTCTGTAGCATCAATAGATATTTTGGAAGTTAGGTATTGAAACATATGGTCTCATCCTCCAAATTATGAGAATGGAGCTCAAATACTGCAGTTGAGGATTTTAAAAATTATTTTTGGCCTAAATTTATAAAATAAAGCAGAAACTGAATGCTAAGGATGCCCCTTATCTCCAGGAACTGAGACTTTAGAAGAACACAAAATATTAAAGGAAAGCTGAAAACTTGTGAGAGTTGGCACAGGTAGAACACTATATAAACAGACATGTAGAACTGTACTAACTCTGTCAGGCTGAGCAAAATGCTGTTTTGCACAAAGCAGCTGAAATTCTTTTCTTTAAGGCTGTCATATGCATCTCCTGCATATGTGAAAATGAGGTAATCTATTAGCTCACCATTCACTGTGACATCAGTTCCCAGTTCCTGCCACCAGCTCCAGCATCCCACACATCTCCCTGTCAGCATTTTACTGCCCTCAGACACTTAACAACCTTTCTTGTTAAGAGTCGATCTATTACATAGCTGCCATGGAAATTTGTGGTGAAATATCTGTTTATGCTTGAAGAGACTGGGGCTTCAGTTTGTTCCCCTGCTCTGCAGTGCCTGGTAGCTTCCAAGGGGACCTCCCAGGATCATGCACTGCCAAAGCCAAGGACTTTGTGGAGGTAAAACTGCCTGGATAACATGGCATTTCCCTCTGGGGAGCTTCCTTCTGGTCAGCAGTGTAAAGTCCTTTTTGTTTCATTCCACCTGGCATGTCATTTGGGCATCAGTTGAATGGATTCATAAAGTCACAAGATCAGTTTCTGTGTGACTTGAGGCAGGCAGCCAGGGAAGAGGAGCTCCCACCCTGGGGCGGGAATCTGTAAGCAGTAACAGCAGCACGTCCCCTCTGTTGTATATCTGCATGAGGGGAAGTGCTGATATCTCACACTTAATTAAAGTCAAAATCCCAGATTACTTAAACTGCAAGGTCTGACCCACTTTTCTTCTGGCGACTCTAAAGGGCTGCTTTGATGCTCACTTGCACTGGGCCTGCCCTGTGCCTGCAGCCATAGCTCTGCAAGGAAATCCCCCAGCCACTCTATTTTCCCCAGTGGGTAAATTGTAAAGTGAATATCAGAGGTGGGACACAGAGAGGTAATTCATTCACAAAGTTATGTCTCTAGAAGTAGAGAGGCCACTCATGTGGTCTCTGATGAAGTTCTGCTGATGAACCCCCAAATTCTCAAGGTTGGCTCTCCTACCAGGGGTCATTCCTAGAAACATTCAGGAGTTGGTGGAGAAGACATGCAGGATGGAAAAAACCTGAACTAGGATGTGGCTTTGGTGTCAGGGTGTGCACTGCCCAGCCACCCACCTGCTCATGATTCCCTGTTCCACACCAGGCGTGGTGGCCTGGTGAGTACACAGTAAATTTGGAGCACCCTCCCAAACAAAACCTGCTATCCATAATGGTTGAACAGATTTTGGCTGGAGGGGGTTAGATGAAATTACTTTGTTTTCTACTGATAAAATATTGACATGAGTTTGGAAGGAACTGCCTTTCAATCATCTCTTTGAAATGTTTGGGAGAGGTGTGATCCACTTCCTTAGGACTATGTGACATGGCAGGAGCAGTTCTATAGCTGTGTGACCTGTCTTTACCACGACATGCTTCTACCAGCTCTTGGAGATGTAGGATTTACAAATATCTCAGCTTTCACCTTTTAAAAAATAACCGCAGTTGTGAAGACAGACATAAAAACACAATGCAAGAGCAGTGTGTAGGTACAAAATTGAAAATACCCATCATGCTTCCACTGTATAAGGGAGTCAGTTCATTTTCATCTGTTAATGAGATGGTTCAGAAACTTTGCAGCATTTTCAGGTTCAGAATGACTGGGAGGGGACTCTGTTCCAGAAAAGCCTGGGCTGCTGAAGTGAAGCCGGTGAAGTCAGTGGTACTAATGAAAGTGTAGGTTTGCAAAATCAAACTTTTAAAATGTGCATAAGCAAAACAAATGAGATTTGTCATCCTTTCAGGATCTCTCTAAGTAATTGCCTTTTCTGCAATGACTGTCATCTATCCTGCAATGAGGCAGTGCTGCCAATGTAAGCAATCACCTGCATCCACCATGACTCCAAATCCAGATTCTCAGAAATTTCACCTGTATGAAATAGTGGTGTCAATTTTGGGAACCCAGCCTGCCCTGGGACTGCACACGACAACAACCCCAGTATTGCTGTTCTCTACTTGAGTGCAGAAATGCACTTTCTAGGTACTTTATGGCACCAAATGTCATCTTGACTACATTGAGATGAACATTATGGATTATTTCTATTAATTGACTGCACATACAAAGATTTGTGATGCAGAGCAGCAGGCATGTGTCGGGCATATGGAGGCATGGAGCTCCTATTTTCACCAGGAGTGCCCACCCTGTCCAGCCAGCACTGCCCACCCACACTGCAGGAGTCCAGATCCCCACGCACCCACTGAGGCCAATGCACTTGTAACTTTGGCTCACCCTGTACTTATAGCTCTTACTTAGGAGAAAATTTTTTGCTTTTTAAACAACTGGTTTTGAGGTAAGTTTTTTACATTTCCATGATATTAACAACTCTCAATTGTTTGTTTCTAATGCAGAACCCATTTTATATTTATAAAAAGGAATGTCAGAAAGTACCAGCAAATTATACCAAGAAAATCTCAAGATGGTTTCACAAGTCATTATTATCATCCTGTGAGGTCAGGAGGAAACTGGTTTGTTTAGTGACACATTGTTTGATTTAGCAGCTGAGTGACTCACACCAAATTGAAGATTTGTTGCTACATTGAATGCTTAATTGCAAAGATAAGCTGTGCTGTTAGTTCAGAGATAGTGTGTAGGCTGAGATGAGCAGATGCCAAAATTGTGAAGACAATTGCTGAAGTTTAAATTACAAAGTCTGAATTGAACGCTGTGATTAAATAAGGACTGTTCTTCATTAATCACTATTTAGGTTTCCCCCTCTTTGTTTTATTCTTCACTTCAGCAGAAGCCACACTATAGAGAGGACCTGAAGCAGAGCTAAATAGCAGTGACTGATTTGAATCTTGCTTACATGGATTCTCCATTTCCACTATGTAATTAACACCCAGTAAAGCTACCCAGGTGCAAAAGTAATCAGAATTTTGTCTTTATTTATTCTGAGATGGGTTGATAGCGTGCAGACCCTGCCCATCCCCCCTGTATCCTGTGCTTGTCCCAAAAAGGCATGTGTGTGAGCATCACGTGAACTGTTCCATGTAATTACTGAAGCTCACTCCTTCCTCACTTGCTGTCTGGTGCAAACAGGAGCAGCTCAGCTGAGCACCCAATATGAGCTCACTGGTGGCAGTCAGCAGGGTCATGGAAAAACTGGGATGCTGAGTTGGGTGCAGCTGGAGTCCTCCTGCTGGGGTTGCCCGCAGCTGGGCTGGAGGAAACAGGGAGGGGAAAGAGCCACTTCTCTTTAAGAGTCAGTTTTAAAAGTGCTGGCAGAGGCAACCCTGTTTCTTACCTGGGAGCTGAAGGTCTTGTCTCTGTGTCCTGATGTCCTTGGAGATTTAGAAGGGAGGTGACAGAGATGAAGCTGTCTCTAGATAA